GAGAGAGAGAGAGAGAGAGAGGGAGAGAGAGAGAGAGAGAGAGAGAGAGAGAGAGAGAGAGAGAGAGAGAGAGAGAGAGAGAGAGAGAGAGAGTCTGAGAGTTGAGACTTGGTGACATTGGGAAACTATTTTTGGAGACTATATATGGGGACACTATTGAGTTGATGACATCTGCATATCTCTCCCCTTTCGTCTCTTCTCCCTCGTCATCCGTGTATGAGCTTGGCCACGGCACTCTTCTTCCATGTGTATGGTGCCATGGCCCATCCCCTGCATCGATGATGAGTGAGTTGCAGTCTGTCTTAGTCAAGCTGAGTCAGATCTCTGTGTATCAGTCTTACGCTTTTGCTCATTCTCCTTGTCGGTTCTTGGGTTCTGCGCCATGGCCATCTGACTGTCTTCGGGCATGTGACACTCTCCTTGTCTCTCTGTCTCTGCCTCTCACTATCTCGTAATAGTAGCAGCAGTAGTAGCAGTAGTACCAGCAGCAGCAGCGGCGGCAGCAGGATCAGGAGCAGCAGTGGTAGTAGCAGCGGTAGCGGTAGGGGTCATGGTACCAGTGGTCGAGGTTGTGGTAGTGGTAGTCATAGCGGTCGTGGTTGTGGCAGTGGTAGTTGTAGTGTCAGGGTCGTGGTCGTGGTCATGGTAGTAGCAGGAGTCCGGTGGTAGGAGTTGTGGTAGTGGTCGCTGCAGTGGTAGTCGTAGTACTAGTCGTAGTAGTAATGGTCATGGTAGTGGCCGTGGTAGTGTTCGTGGTAGTGGTCGTGGTGGTGATGGTGATAGTGAAAGTGGTCGTGGTAGTGAAAGTGGCAGTAGTAGTAGTCCGGTACCAGCGGGGATGGTGGTGGTAGCGGCAGTGATGGTGGTGATAGTGGTGGCAGCGGTGGTGAGAGCGGCGGTGGCGGCGGCGGTGGCGGCGGCGGTGGTAGTGGCGGCGGCGATGGTGGTAGCGGCGGTGGTGGTAGCGGCGGCAGCAGTGGTAGCGGCAGTAGGGGTGGTAGCGGTAGATGTGGTAGCTGTAGAGGTGGTAGTGGTAGAGGTGGTGGTGGTAGTGGTAGTGGTAGTAGTGGTACTGGTGCTGATACTGGTAATACTCCTTTGACCAGGTAAGTTAGATGCATACTGCCGGGCATATCGTGAACCGGAATGGGCAGGCCCTAGCAGGTTCTCGCCAAAAACAATACCGTATTGGATTTTTTTTAAATCAAATTAGGTGAACGCGTCGAAGTTAGAGAAACGGCCAACCAATTTGGAATTTCGAAGAAGCTTCTTGGACCGGCAGATTGGAATTGGATGTTTTTTTTTATCAAAATAGGTGAACGCGTCGAAGTTAGAGAAACGGCGAACCGATTTGGAATTTCGTAGAAGGTTCTTGGACCGGTAGATTGGAATTTGCCATGTAGTCCAAGCGTTTTAGATTCTTGTAGAAGCTTCTTGGACCGGTAGTTCAGAATAGGACATCTTGTAAGCCGATATGGACATGTATTCTAGAAACTTGGACAGACCCACTGCGCCCTTCGTCAAAGGACCGAACGATTTAGACTGACGAGCGCACAAATTGGTGGGCCCCACAGAAAATTGTGTGTCGCTCACATGTGTCCTGCGCACATCCACCTAGGTACGGGTACCCACGTGCATGCACTCTCGCGTGTGCTGCATGCATCCATCAACGTAAATTTCATAGAGAAGAAACCCCTACCTGCCTTGGACCAACCCAAGGCGATCATCATGGACAATGTTCCATTTCATCGTAGTGGGGATGTGCAGTGGGCGATAGAGGAAGCTGGGCACACTTGTCTTTACCTTCCTCCATACTCCCCTTTCTTGAACGCAGCAGAATGGGTCTTCGGCAATGTCAAGACCCGTGTTTGTCGTGAGGAACTTGGGGGGCAGGGGAATCTGATTGCATCAATCAGATAAGCCAGATGTGCCAAGGATGGATTAGAGAGGTGACACGAAACTTCGGCAAAGCTACTCGAGGCGAAGTTCTAGGTCGACAGTTTACGGGAGCAGCAGGGCCGTAATTCAGATGCATGTGACTAACATGCAAAATCGCTTCACTAAATTGATATCTTTGTTGGTCCCGATGGTGTGCGCAGAATCTCAAATCGGTTGACTGTTGAACTAAATGTGGTTTTGGTAATACTAATTTGTTAAATGAATCTGCCTAACTCTGTCATGCGTCCAAACTGTTAAATCATTTTGTCCAAAATGGTCATCATTTATCCCAACCTATATCCAGTATGTCCAAAATGCTCATCGTGTCTCCCAACCAAAATCTGATATGTCCAAAATGCTCATCACTTATCGCAACCTATATCGGCTGTCCAAATCGGTTCCGATCATGTACTAAATAGGAAAATCGAACTGACCAATTCGGTTTGATGATTGTCCAATTGAATTTTCGTTTGTCCAAATTGCTTCACCTTGATCCTAACTTACCTGGTCAAAGGAGTAATAGTGCTGGTAGTAGTGGCAGTACTGATAGTGGTAGTAATGGTAGTAGTAGCAGTGGTAGTGGTAGTGGTAGTGGTAGTACTGATAGTACTGGTAGTACTGGGGGTACTGGTAGTACTGGTAGCAGCCGTAGTAGTAGTAGTAGTGGGGATGGTAGTGGTAGCAGTGGTAGTAGTCGTAGCAATGGTAGTAGTGGTCGTAGTTGTCATCCATCGTGGTCAGCCGTCGGCTTCAGCAGTCGGCTGATTGTAGGGTTAGCTTGGTTTCTCACATCTCGGGCGTGAGACTTGTGTGGATTGGCTGTGAGTAAGAACTGTGATTTGCTCCTCAGTAGTGTCTCAAATCAAACTCGATGATAGAACATCAACTCTTACGCAAGGAATAACATGTCACAGAAAACCCAGGCGTCGCAGACATGAGCAAGAGCTCACATATCACTGTTCTGTGACTCTGTCCTCTTTCTGCTCAAGTAGAAAGCTGAACCTGGTTGATCAGACTTTATTTGGGATGGTTGAGAAGTCTGGCAGATGAGGAGTGCAACATCCCTGAGTGTCTAAAGCATGGAAACTTCTTGATTTGTTTTAAGGACTGAGCAGTCACTCAAGTACTTGAATATTATGAAGAACACTTTGGAATGATGACACAAAGGCATGCAGAACAGTAGGCAGACAAACTCCCCAGTGTGGAATGAAAGCTGCTCTGTTGTAAGGTAACTTAAATGATGCAGCAGAAACTAAGGTCCAAGCACTGCACATGCCCTGAAATCTATACCACTGGTCTTTCTCTGAGGGAGTGTTTGTGTGAGCTAAGGTGCTGTGCTATGCACCACATGGGCCCCTTTGACCCCGGTAGTAGGTCAGGGGGTTAGCTAGAGGTTAGGCATCCTTTCTTGGGCCGGAGTCAGTCCCTTCCCTCTTAGTCCGCATGTATCCAACTGCATAGGAGAACGGATACAGTTCCAGGCCAGCCTCATTTGGAGACACAGAGTTGGAGGTAACGCGCTCAGCGCAGAATCAGTAGACTTCAGCCTGGGCGCTCTTCATGTTGACAACATCAGCTTCGAGCTGGGGCTGGAGCACACTGCAGTGGGTTGTAGAGGAGTAGCGGATGAGGCGGAGGCCAGGGGACTTACCTGTCGACTTACCTGCGACGCCATAGCTCCGGCTTTGTCTTCAGCATGTCCGTACCTGCATCAAGGTGCCACCTTTCTGCAGGTCAGTACCTGGTTACATGAGAGAGAGAGAGAGAGAGAGAGAGNGAGAGAGAGAGAGAGAGAGAGAGAGAGAGAGAGAGAGAGAGAGAGAGAGAGAGAGGGAGGGAGGGAGAGAGAGAGAGAGAGAGAGAGAGAGGATTCTTCTTCTGCTTTCTTCCTCCTGTCCTCCATCGCTCCTCCTCCTTCCCTTCCGGAGCTCTTCACCTTCTTCTGGGTATGAGAGAGAGAGAGAGAGTTGAGAGTTGAGATTGGGTGACATTGGACCGAGACATTGAGGAGACTATTTGGAGACTTCACGAGTGATATTTGAGTTGACGACATCTCCATTCCTCCGCCTTTCTCTCTTCCCCCTCCTCTTCATCTATGGACATTTGCTGGTCTGGCCCCCTTCGTCTGTGTATTGGGTGTCAGGACCACTCTCACCCTGCCTGATGATTACGAGTGTGTTGCAGTCAGTCTGTGTCATTGAGTCAGATCATGGTGTATCAGTCCTCCACTGTTTGGGTTGGTTCTCGGTTCTGATCCTTGCCTTATAGGCATGCGGCAAGCGCCAAACGCTTGACAGTCTAGCAGTTCGTGCTCTGGGCTGTTCTGAAATGGTTCAGATTTGCCTAGTACTATTTGAACACACCCATTAGCTTGCTGGACAGAACCCAAAACAGGATCAGGCGTGGAAAGACAGAGGACTCACGGAGAGAGATTTTCCCCTGTTCCCGAGCAGGAGAAACACCACATGCTTTTCCCCTCAAGAATATTTCCATCCAATGACTACTAAGCTACTAATCGTAGGACAGTTGTACGAAATACTTTTTTCAGGTTAAGGAGCATGGTATGGCCATAACACGGCTAATGTGCCCAATCCTGTCTGATTTCTGAAGCCAGTTGGACCGGAATTCGCCGTGTGGCACCTAAGCGCACTTGATCTTTTGGCTGCCAATCTGCTCTGCCAGCCTACAAATCACTGCCCACTGCAAGCCATGCATATGGGGCAGCATCCATCTTTTTGCTTCTTCCGACCATGTAATGCAACAATTATGGAGCTTCAGGCCGTGTCATGACTCACAACATCTCAAGGAGGGAGGAAATTTTCCACCCTTGCTACGTCCCACATAGATTTTCCACCCTTGCTACTCCCACATAGATTTTCCACCCTTGCTACTGACAATTAGCTTTCCCATCCTCGCAACTCCGAAGTAGGTTTTCCTACCTTGCTACTCCCAAGTAGATTTTCCACCCTTGCTACTCGCAAGTTGGTGTTTGGCCCTTGCCTATACCCAAGTCGATTATCCACCCTTGCCACTCCTGAGCTTCATCCCCAGGGTCCTCCTCCAGGTGTAGTTTATTATGTTTGCACGTTATGTACTCCGTGAGAGTAAAGCCTGCTATGTTTTCTACATGAATGGTGTTCTTTTTTTTTTTTGGCTTCTCCCACATTACTTGCATGATGATTGTTGTTTGTTGTTTGGTGGGTGTCCTTTTTCTTTCCATGCAGAATGAGAAGTATCGACAGCAAATGGAAGAGCTGGGGAAGGATGTTTTGAGACTTGAGGAGGAACTGCACAAAATTGACGTATTGGAAGCTGCTCTCTCGACGAAGGAGAAAGAGGTGCTTGAGCTACAAGGAGTGATATCTGACTTGAGAAAGGGAGTTGCTCATAAGAATGAACTTCAACAAAGAGTGGAGGTATGTATTACTAAGGGCGTACTCCCACTAGGACTTTCTAAATGACCCGCAGTTAGAGTCTGCTGCATCTAAGAAAGTCCTGGTTTGAATAGAACCTTGATACGACCCACAACATTCAACAAACTTTGTTCGTATCGCATTTGTCTCAGACTTTGCTTGTAACTTTGTAAGTTTGTATGTTCCCTTTGCTTCTTCATCTCTTTGTTAACCGTATTATGTTTTCTCATCTCCTAAACTGTATGTATAAGGGCCTCACTGCACTGCTCATGAAATGTGCAAATTGGACAGTGCATCCTCAGAGTCTGTCCTCAGCTGCAAGATGGATAGATAGTAGATATACATTTGCCATTTTTCTTTTTCACATTTGGCGACTGGTGGAGCAAGGCCCTAACTCGTTGTCATGTCTTCTCCCCACCCCTCTTTTCAAATGTACTTTGCAGACCCCTTTAACTTTCTCCAACTGTTCTTTTTTGTTTTGTTTCTTTAATTAAACCCCCAGTACATTTTCCAGCTATTTTGTTCTGGCATGCCTGTACAAGTGCCACGTCTTTCAGGGTTTGGCTTACCAGATCTGTTTGGCTGGTGGCGCCAGCCAAAGAGAAAAAAAATTGTGCCACACCGGTTGTTGTTTTTTTGGGGCGCGCAGCACAAGTCCACCTCGGGTTAAAAAGGCTTGTGTTACAATCCTGGCCAATTCCAAAGTGCAAATTCACAAGGAAATACAATGCCACCCAATTGCGAAAAGAAATGAAAGAACTTGAGAGAAGAATGAGACAAAGGAGGAATAAGAAGAAGAAAGAAAGAAAGAAGAAGAAGAAGATGTACACCAACAATAAACCAATGGCAAATCCCCCTTCTTTCGCCAACCAACTCTTCCTCCTTATCTCCTCCTCTCTTGTTCATGTAATAAACTCAGTTCATAGACATACAGCCGCAGGCTAGGGTCGTCACTTTTGGTTAAAGACCAGAAACAGGGGTCCAAAGTCACATTCGACCAGGCAGAGGCTATGGCGGACATCAGGGACCAACGCCCGATGTTCAAAAGACAACGCAAAAGCAGCTAAGTCCGCTGCACCTCAGGCCACCATGCCTGACTCTACCCCGAAGCCTTCTTGTCATAGCGCAGCCTAACTAGGGTCTTTCAGCAGCAGCGCCAACCAAAGAGATGAAGATGCTGGCTTCCATACCCAGGTAGGTACCTTGCCACTCTCCTCCATCTCCTTTTTCCTCCTCCTCCTACTGGCATACTCCACCATAGCCAAGGTGAGAGCTCCCGGACTTCTTCCTCCTCCCTAGTGCTGAATGCCTAGCGCTCCTTCCAGTGGCGCTCTGAGAACCAGCACCCGCTCAAGCAGCATGACGTCAAAACATGCACACTGCAAATGAGGTTGAGCCTCTAGCTCAGCCTGGAGATATACTGAGGCGACTTGCCTCATGGGCAATGACTTCCTGGCCGGTCGGCCTCCCAAGCAACCAGTTCCCTCCTCCTTTCGGAGGGAAACATCATTGCAGGTTTGATATCGTCCGCGCAGGCCCTAGACTCAGGCTACTTGGACTGGTACCCACCTACCTAGGCCTACTGGTTCCCTCAGCCTCTAAAAATCCCAACTTTTTGTCTTTTTCTGCTAGGCCTACCACTACTTGAGTGGCCCTAAGCTACCCCTCCAAGCACTTGGCTGCAACCCTCAAAAGTCACGGCCACAAGTATTGGCCCTGCGGGCCTCTCAAACATACAAGTGCCCTGGCGGGCCACACACACACTCAGGCAGACGTGTACTCACACAGAAACCAGCAAACACGCTCACATACACACTTGGAAATCTCAGCAAAAACCGGAAACTCTCAGCAGACACACATTCCAGCAGAAAAACTCAGAAATCAGCACAATTCTCAGTTTGTGATTTTGCAGGGCATTACAGCACCCCCCCCCTCAAGAACAAGGTCCCTTCAAGCGAGTAACTCACTCGGAGTCCCTGCAAAATGCATCATAAGTGGATATGGCGAAGTGAGATCAGGTATGTTCTGTAGGAGTGAGAATCGCATGAAGTTTGGCTGCTGATCATACACAATCTGTCACTCTTACTTGAGGGGCATTTCGAAGTAAGTCTTTCTTCGGAATCCAGTAGAGATCATCTAACGGGTTATAGAGAAAGTGAACTTGATACTGTCTGTCATTCCCTGTTCCACTATGTGCAACAATTTTGTCAATCGTGTGGCCACTGCTGATAGCACGAGGGATCATAGGCTCACGTTGTAAAAAGGAATCAGCAGAAAGATACGGAAACAGTTTCGACGCGTGAAAGACTGGATACATGCGCAGATGAGGAGGCATGTCAATCACATAGGAAGGACCAAATCAATCGTCCCTCACCATCTTCAGAATCTTCCAAGGGCCATAGTAAAGAGGAAGAAGTTTCCGTGATTCTCCTTCTTCTTCAGAAAATTCAGACATCTTGACCCAAACATAACTTCCCACTTCGAGTGTGTGCAAGCTGTGTACAACCCCTTCACTATTGGCAATTCTTCATCCCACGATTCCAGATCTGCAATAATAAGAGTGCGGAGAAGTTGTGTGACAGTCTGGTTGATCTCCTCAGCCAACCCATCGGCTTCAAGATGCCGACCGGATGTCGTCTTGAGCTTCATATGATAGACTTGGGAAGTGAAGTCCTTCCATCTGCACTTATGAATCGCGTATCCGAACCACTCAGAAGAGTCGTCCCAGGGGCCATATTGCAGAATGGACTTCTTATTGAACTCTTTGATTACAAGTTCAGTTGGGAAGAGGATGAAGTAGACGATATGACTTGATTAGTTGATAGACTTGACACTCACCCACAAACTTGTAAGTAGATCCTTTCATTCCAAATCGATCAAATTGTTGCACTGGACTCCTGTACGTTTTCTCAAAACCGAAGTATCCACTCTGGCCATGAGCCAAATCCAAGAAGTGAGTACGGAGAGGCTCGTGGTTGGATACACAAAAACAGTCTAACTTTCCATAACGTCGGAACAACAGACCCTCACTCTCCTGAAAATTTGGCTTACTGTTGGGGTCAACCCTAAGCTCCTCAAGGATGGCACTAAGCTTCGGATCCTTGGCAGTTTGCTATACTAACTCCCCCTTCAATTTCCTTTGAAGGTCGTAGGAGCTCACAAGGCAAGTCATGTACTCGGGGTGGCTAGACAAAGCATCTGCAACGCAACTGTAGCATCCTTTCTTGTGCTTCAATTCAAAATTAAAGACATCAATTTCTTGCAACTAGAGGATCAATGTGGTGGGCAAAGCATTATATGACTTGATCCCCCACGAAGTCTCATAATCTGAGAAAACTTTGAAACAACTCCCCGAAAGATAGTGCTTCCGACAGTCGAATGCCTCATGCAAAGCATAAAGCTCGTGCATGTAAGTGGAATGTTTAGGTAGCTCAGTTGGTCAGAGCAAAGGACTGAAAATCCTTGTGTCAGTGGTTCAAATCCATTTCTAAACAGGCAACACCAATCTCTTAAGAAACTCAACTTGGTCAACTTGCCGAGTAAATAGGTTGAGGACGGATTTGAACCATCATTCGTGGATTTGCAGTTCAAAACAAATTTTACTTTATAATGAAGAAATTCTAGTAGCTTTTAGTTTTTAGGGTTTTGTTTTATTTAGTAAAAAAACTTTTGGTGAGACTTTCAAGGCTACTTTGGAAGCAAGAAGCGAAAGTACTAGCTGAACGTAAAGTAATGGCTTATATGCAGCGTAGAAAAGGTCCGAATGTGGTAGGATTGTTTGGGTTATTACAACCTTTAGCAGATGGTTTGAAATTAATAATAAAAGAGCCTATTCTACCAAGTAGTTCTAATTTGTTCATCTTTATAATGACTCTAGTCATTACATTTACCTTTTCGATTGGCATGCATTTTGTTGTAGTACTCAACCGGACACAAGGCATCACCATCATCTGGTTGCAAGATTGCGTCAATTGTATACTGGCTCGTTCCCCAGGGCTTGAAAGGAAGTCCCACAATCCCCATCCCATATGTAAGATACATTCTTGCTGGCTAGTCTCGACAATGGCCGGGCAATGACATAAAATCTGGGAACAAACTTTTGGCACTACGAGGCAAGACCAAGAAAAGAATGCAGGTCGCAAACATTCAATAGTTGAGACCACTTGCGAATGACCTCAACTTTGGTTGCCTCGAGCTCAAGGCATGCAGCCGACAACCGATGTAAAAGAAGATGGGTTGTCCCTCCCTAATTCATATTTTTGTAAGTTGAGATGTTGTGCATCCTTGAGGGTACTTAACACCTCCTCAAGGTGTCTCATGGGCTCATCCATTGATTTGCTGAAAATGAGAATGTCGTCCAAATAGACAACAACAAAGTGATTGATTTGATTTTTGAACACTCTATCCATGAGACTTTGAAAGGTGGTTGGGGCATTCGTAAAGGGCATGACAGTGAACTCATACAACCCATCATGTCTTTTAAACGCAGTTTTGTGCTGATCCACCGGATCGACTTCAATTTGGTGGTAACCAGACTTGCGATCGATATTGGAAAAGACCTTGCGCCCACCTGCTGCATCAAGCAAGTCATTAATTTGTGGCAAAGGATGTGTATTATTCCTTGTGATTCTGTTCAGTCCATGGTAGTCAGTATACATCCGAAGTTTGCCTCCTTTCTTACCAGATTCAAATCCACTGGGTTTGATCCACCTCTTGTCAATCATATCATCAATCGGCCTCCGCAATTCCTCCAACTCGCTGGGTCCCTTAGGGTAGACACAACCTTATGGAAGAACGTTGCTTTCAATCAACTCGATTTTATACTTGACTGGATGTTACAGACTCCGCCAGGGCTCGATCCCTCGTCTGCGGCTACCACCCACCAGCTTGCTGTATTTGTTCTTCTTTTTGTTTTTACGACTTTCTTGTTGTCTTTTTTCTTTGTTTTTGCTTTTCTGATTTCAGACAGTTGGCGCCATCTGCATTCTGGCGCCCGTTTTCAA